AGTTTTTAAACCAACAGTAGGGATAATAGTACTGAATTTTTCAAAATGGCCTATCAAACTACCTTGGACTTTTGTTTTTTCTGATGACTTTTTAAGTTGGAAAAAAGACGAAGGATGTACTTTAAAAATTCCTTAAGCATACAGAGTATTAATATAAGGAGAATAAACGCTTCTGAATTTCATGAAATCAACTACAAAAGAACATACGCTTATAGTAAAGAGCACTGGGTTCAGCAGTACACAAATAAAGATTATAAAATACTAGAACAGGCTACCAATAAAACTATGTCAACTACATGTTAGTATTAGGTGATATATTTTATTTTCTCAGTTTTTTAATTTTTTAATTTTATTTTCTCAATTTTTTAATTGGTATGTTTTTTTCAAATAAAGAGTAAAACATTGGAGATATCAGTACTCAGGATATGCATTAAGAAAGTAAAAATGTCATGGTTCCTGGATCTGTTAAATTTGTATTTAAAAATCTTTAATACACCCTTGCATAAAATGTTTTTTCCTAAAACATAAAAAATTATTTTCTTTAGTTTTGTTTTCTTTAGTTTTGTTTCACATCTACGATTATTTTTGTTTTAGGAATTAGAAAGGTAGAAAAAGGAAAAAAAAATCTATGGAGGACAAATAGTGATATAACACAAAAGTTTATCACTGCCCTCTACTGTACAATTTTCTCAAACCAACACTGATTAAGGAAATTACAATGTGATTGACAGGCACGGAACGCTAACCCAAGGATGTTGAGTATTCTTCAGCTACAATATCTATCTGCGGCAGGGTTTCTTAACCTCATCATTAGTGACAGTCTGGGCCCCAATAATTATTTGTTGCAGGTGGCTGTACTGTGCATTGTAAGACATTTTGGCAGCATCTCTGGCCTCTACTTACAAGATGCCAATAGTACTTCCCCAAGTCATGACAACTAAAATGCCTCCAGACATTGCTAAATATCCACTGGAGGGCAAAATTGCTCCTGGTTGAGAACCATTGATCCCAGATTAGCAGTTCTATCTGTAATTCTCTTTCATTCTGAATCAAAGCCCTAGGTATTGAACAACGTTATCTGCTCCCATGGATCCACTTATAATCTATATCTGGATGGCATACAGAATTACTTGTTTACTCCATCAAATTTAGTTCTAATAACACACCTCACATGTTGAACTAGAAGACAAAGCTACTCAAATGATACTCCAACACTGATGGTGCTATCCCTCTATCACATCCTCCTGGCATCATCTCACAATCATCCAGGAAGAGTATGTGCAAGAAACAGGACTTCACCAGCATCCAAAACAGACTCCTCTCTCTACAATTACTTAATTCCGAAACCTTAATTATGCTGTTTCCGCTACCTCAGATGACCTTAACCTAGTATTCTGAATGTTGTCCCATGTTCCAGGATTTGTCTTGGCAAGTAATTCTTTCCTCCACATGTTTTTAACCTCATTTCCTATTTGTGTATCTGCTTCCCCCAGATCCATGACCTTTATGCATCTGACCCAAGGCCGGTAATGGGACTCAGAATTCTAAATGCTTCATTTGCTCAATGACTTGGCTTCGTATTTTGACACTTGGACACCATCTGGACCCTGATAGTAATATTAACTCGGTATGAAAGTCTTTTGAGAATAAAATACATCACTTTAAGAATGGTTGCAAAATACTGGACCACTTTTTTTAGAACTTGGAAAACTTCCAAGACACAAAACACCACATAGTTTGTCAATCTCATTGCTTTCACTTCACGTGTGTGTGCATGTACAATATATTTCTGATTATAAAATAATTTTAAAGTTTGAAAAACATAGAAGTAGATAAAATACAATCACCTAAAATTCCACCATCATTCAGAAATAACTATTGTTAACTACTAAAATGTAGATTGAAGTCTAAAGTATAATGTCTGTATCTATCTATCTACATACTTTTTTTTCAAAAGTACTTATCATATTTCACACAGTGTTTGTGACCTATGTTTTACTTCATAATGTATCCAGGAATGATATCCAAAATAATTAGCAAATCATATAGAAGAGGCTGGCCTCACTGATGCAAAGTTCTGGGGTTTTAACTCTATGGGGGCTGCATAATGAGAGGCCCAGAAAGTCCCATCGGAAGGCTCAGGGCAGACAGGGTACTATGAGACACTGCAGTGGCTCAGAGAAGCTGCTGTTTACCAACAGGTAGAAGCATCTCAACATTTTAACAACTGGTTAGGGTTGTATCAGTGTAAATATTCTGATTAGCATCCTTGTGCATACTGTATCCTAAAATATCCTTAGTAATCAAAAACATGGTATTTAATGACTACAAAGTCTGATCTTTGGATATTTTATATATTGCATTTTATATTGGTCTCTATCACTTTTTCCTTTTGCTCAATCAATATGATCATTACTCATCAAAAACTCCATCACATCTCAACAGAATTTATGTAAATTCCTCTTGCTGAATCATCTAGTCCCTTCCTCAAAATTTCACCGTATGATAGCACCTATCACATTATGTTTAAATTATTTCCTGAACCATCTCTTAAAAAGCTCTATGTTCTGCAAGAACAGGGACTGTGTCTTGGTCACGTTTTGTATTATTGGTATTTGTTGTTCAGTAAACATTTGCTAAAATAAATTGTTGTAATATATTATTTCTCAGATTCCCTAGGAGTCTTATTTATTATGCTAGATTAATATTTACAACTTCAAAGAGTTTTTTTAAAAAAATATAGAGCTTCATGAATTATCATATTACTTTCATTTTCCCTCTGCTTATCCTTTTAGGTTAGCCTAATCAGAAATCACTATGAAGGGGGTTGACCTACTTCCGTATTTGAGAATTCTTCAAAGAATTCTATTTAGAATATTCTTCTCAGCATTCCAGTCCAGCTACTTGGATGACAACTGGAATCCCATTTTCTTCACAGACCTTAATGGTTAATAATCATGACAACTTTATGTTGCCCTCTCTGTTCTGAACTTGGTATCTTACGGACTTGTGCTTAATACTCATGCCTTCGTTCATTCAATAATTCATCACATCTTTATTGAATTCATATTACCTGCCAGATCTGTGGATCAACAGATGAATAAAACATGGTCTCTGCCCTTGAAAAATTCCAAATTAGTTAGAAAGGCAGGCTCTAGACTACAATGTAGTAAGTCTCATAAGATATTTATAGACAGAGCATAAAAAAAGCACTATATTGTCATACTTCTACACTCAATTTTATTCACACCATTTCCTTAATGGTAAGAATACCCTAACCTACTTTAGAAAAACGCTTTTTCCCCTACTAGCAAAGTAAGTTTTCCTAAGACTCTACTGATGTGGATTCATTGAAGACAAGGTAAAAAATAAAAATAAGAAAAAAGCCAGAATTTCCCAAACAGCACTTATCACAGTATCATAGAGTACCTGTGTGATACTGGAGAGTAGACAAGGAAAATCTTTGAAGAGTTTCCAGCAGTGCAAAAAATCTTTATAGTTATTGAAATACTTTCATATTGCATTACAAAGAGAAGATGGTTGGTAATTTATATTTGCATTATCAGTCTCAAGAAAATGAATGCTAGAGAGCCTAAGTCTTTCAAAATCAAACCCAAGGAAACAGCCGCAGACAATTATGCCATTGTGTATAAATACGTTTACACCTGTTTCCTGTGAGAACTATTTAAATGCACTTACCTAGCATATCTGACACCTGGAGCAGTTAATTTTAATATGTTCCTCCTCTATATAAGAAAATTATTTTTTTAGAAATAGTCACGAAATTAAATGAATAATGATAATGAACATAATATAAATTCAGAAAAGGCAAATTTTCTTTTTTTCAAAACTTCATCATATAATCATGCTTGTAGTGAATAATTAACAATAGCATTGAATAAAAAAGTAATGGATTAATCTTTTTAATTAGATTTAAGCATTTTTTGGAAAGAAAAAACAACGGCCTGTTACACTAATGAGACACTACATTAAAATGTTATAGCAATTAAATAAAAAACAAGAAGAATAACAATCTTAAAAGAATACATTTCCATTTTCGAAATATTCATTTCAGTAATATGTTTCACATTTAAACTAAAATTTGCATTTAGTAAACAAAAATATTACATCTAGCAGTTTAGTTTCACTATTTTAAATTTAAAACACAAATAAAAACTCCAAGTGATCATATACAACATAATTGAAAAAACTCAAGTTATGTCTTGTCTTTTATTTCCAATCAACTATTTATGTATTGTCTCCTTTATTAAAATTTCACCAAAACTGAAGCTACTGTTTAGACCTTAGACTATCAGAATATTTTTTTCAGGAGAAATATTTCATCACTGACATTGTTTAGAATTGCTGGCACATGGTGGTAATAAAATGCAGACTGTAAAAGTCAGTTTTATTATTGTTTTTAAATCCTCTAACGACAATACATCCCTTTATTTGCCTACTCTGGGGTGACTGCTTCCACTGCAGTGCCCTTGGCATGGCATTTACTAGATCATTTATCTCTGTACTGTCAATTCTACAAATAATATTCTTCATAATTACATTTACGTGTTGGACACTGTCCTAGGTACTCTTAAACACTGTCTCCTTTGAAACCTGTCACAATCATACAATGCAAGTGTCCTTTCTTACTCTCATTTCATGAATGAAAAAACAATTTAGGGACTTTGAGTAACTTGGCTCAGATCATATGAGTAAATAAGGAAGACAGGAGTCAAAATCAGATATGATTCGAAAGCCCGTAACCACCCAATACTACTTTCCTTTATTCATGCAACAAATATGAACTGAGTGTCTTCTGCATGCTTGCGACAGAGCAGTGAATAAGAAACAATCCCTGTCAGCCAAGGGATCCAAGATTAATCACTCCACTTTTCCTATAGGTGGCCACTCTCCTATTCCTATCATCATAGATTACTTTTACCTACTCAGAAATTTCATCTAAATATCATCCTAGAATATGTACTCATTTGTGTCTCCACTTTTTTTTTCCTGTTCTCTCCTGGAACTCCTATGAATCAGGTATGGGAAATTTCAGATTGATTCTCCAATTTTTACACGTTATTTTTTTCTTGTTTATTCTACTTTCTGGTTTAATTTCATCAGTCATGACTTCCAGTACTCACATTTGTAGAAAGCCTTTTTATTCTATCTGCAACAATTTCTTCATGTCTTCATTTCTCCAATGATCTGCAGTGTTCCAATGTGAGGTCACCGTCAACAGTTGCTCCTCTCCGTTCCCAGGAAGAGGAACATCCCTAAAGGATATTATTATATTATTATATTTGCCTCTCTGGGGATCCTTCATCTTTCAACAGGCCAGACCAATTTTTAATGTCTTGCTTAAAGGGTCTCTGCACCTTGTGAGGAATCTGAATTTGGATTCCTCACCCATGCATGGTTCAGGTTTAAGGTCTAAATTCCCCTGGGTTGCCTTTTCACCCATGATCTCAGGTGGATGGATAGAAAACTTCATTGTTGTTTCCCCAGGTAACCTCATAGGAGCAACCCTTCATGATTACTGGTTTATTGCAAGGTGGTTAGCGTTAGCTCCCTGCAAGCACAGTACTTGAGGCTTGCGATATCTTTACACAATCAGAACCCAACAATTAAAGCCCATAAACTCTCAAGTTCTTTCAGCTTCAGCTCTTGTTCTCTACACCAACTTTTTAAAGTAGGCAGCCACTCAAAAATGGTATCTTCATGGATACCATGACCTAATGATGTAAGAAGTTAACACAATGCAAACATAAATTCTACAGCTCAGCTGATACATGTTTCAACAATAAGAGTTACATTTATTAACTAAAATATACAGTGTGTAAGTTTTATTTTTGGTTTCTCTGGTGTATTTATTTACTGTCCTATACTTAATATAATTCTACCATGAAGTTACCAGTCTCTGCGTCTTTTTATTCCTAATTTTAAATTACAAGAAAATGTATCTGATAGGTCCAGCTTTGGTCAATCCCTGATAAATTAATAAACTATGATACAAATATGATCAATCCACATATGAAGGGCACTGCCTGGAAATGCAATATAGGTTTTAAGTAGGCAGCCATTCAAAAATGGTATCTTCACGGATACCATGGCCTAATGATATAAGTAGTTATCACAATGCAAACATAATTTCTACAGATCAGCTGATACATGTTTTAACAGTATTCTTATTTATTAACTAAAATATACAGTATGTAAGTTTTATTTTTGGTTTCTCTGGAGTGTGTATTTGTACTGACTGAATTGGGAACCATTTATTATCTCATTTTCCTTAATGGGGAACACTCCCTGAAGAAGCTCAATTTATACCGACTTCTATTGATGATAGCATACCATTTAGCTACTCTGAAAGAGCCACCTGGCAAAAACAACTAAAAATGCCAGATTAAAAAAATAAAATACACTGATAAACTAGTAGGAAATGAAGGAATTTTCAGAGGGAATATAAAAGGGGGAAAAAAATAAAGAAGGAAAATGAGACTATCCTGAGAAACAAGTGCAAGCCAAAGTAGGCTTTTGTTCAGAGATTATCTGTCAAGTTCTGGACACCTAGAGCCCTTGCTTTAATAGCTGTTCAGCATGCCAGGGTCAGAAGATAAACCCAAGCATCAGTTCAAAAGGAAGAGTATTACAGCAGACAAAAATCTGGGGCCGCATGGACTATACTCTCCATGTAAGGGTAAATGACAAATATGCCTCAAGCACAGAAGAAACCAGTAATGAAACAAGCCTGTCTTGGCCTTGGAGCCCAGTAAATGAAAAAAAAAAAAAAAAAAAAACACTCTGAGAATCTGTAACAATCCATTTGGAAGAGAGGCCCAAATTAAATCTATCTGAGCAATACAATAAACCTCAAGTGGACAATTTAATCTGGTCCTAGGGTTTATGGTGTCTCCAAACAAAGTGAGTAGCAAATTCTAATGCTCTCCTGAAAAATTCAATTTCAACTCCAGCCTCAAAGAATCCTTATGTTTATAAATCCAAAAACACGAATTCAGAGTCCAAAATCACAACCCACCAGGAAACAAGCACCATGAGCAAAAGTGCCCATTTTAGCACAAAAAAACCCATAAATGTTTCAATATTAGATTTAACGGAAACGAGATATAGACTAAATAATTTGCATAAGAAATTAGAAAATGGCTTGAAAAGAGAACCAAATAGAACTTCTAAACCTGAAAAATTTTGAAAATTTTAAAACATATAAATGAAAGAGTAAGATAAACAAGAGAATAAAGAGAGAAAGTCTTAATGGAAAAAAATGAGAAATAAGCAACACTGAAAAGACAACTGTTGATAATTTTTTAGAATTGTTGCAAGACACCAATCCTGAAATTCGGGAATCCCCTCAAATTACTAAGCAATATTTTTTAAATTTAAGGAAATAAAAGGGAAGAAAGCAAATAAAAGGAAAAGAAGGGAGGATGGAATTCAGACTTAGATCACTGCAAAACTCACAAAGATGTCAAAGAGATCTTAAAAGCAGCCAGAAGAAGGAAGGATAGAAAATAGGAAAGGAGGGAAAGAAGAAGGTAGAAAAAGATTGAGAGTACTTGATTTTAGATGCAAGTAAGGAAAAAATTAGACACTAAAAAATCCTAATTCGTATTAGGATTGTAGTAAGGTTCCATTGAGATTCATCATTATTCATCATTCGTAACAGGAAAATTTCCTGCTTAAGTGCAGTAAAAACGTTGAGTACAAGAGTATGTGATGAAGAAGGAAAGCAAGAAACACACACACACAGTTTCAACTGCAATCTGAAAAACAGAAAATGAACAACAAATTATGAACTAATGACAATTGCCCCAGAAAACTGGAGAGTTAAGAGTGAAGAATAACAATACCTATTATTTATTGGGTGCAAGAGTTAATAATTTTTTTTTTTTTTTTTTAAACAGCAGGGACGTACTAAATACATCACAGGAAAACATTTTCTGGGAGAGATCAAAAAGTAGAAAAGAACACCCAGGACAGCAAACCTCTAATATGGACTATTACTCAACATAAAATTATTGCTATTTCAGCCTATTAGAAATCAAGGCTCCATGCGTTATTCACGGTTGCTCACTATGATAATGATGATGATGAAGATGATGATGATATCAGATTGTATGTACCGATCAATTACACTGGAATGACAACTAGATGGACCGCAAACTAGAATTTATAAGTGGCTATTGTCACTATCTGTGCGTCTTTTAATCTCGGAAATGCATATTCACTCCATAGTCTCATTATAAACTATTTTAAAATTACATGTAAGCCAACTAGATGTCTCTTTTATATTTCAGGAGTTAATAGTGAGGATAAATTCCAGCAGAGAGTTCTATTTTAAGCAATCCAAATTCCCTGAACTTTGCTGATTATTCTAGCGTTTAGAACCTTTGCTATTTGCCTGGCACTTCTTGAAACTTATGACTCACAAACGCCGGGACATGGAATCACAGCAAAGAACAGGTGAAAAGTTGTTCCTAGTTGTATTATGCAGGCGCATACAACTCCCGCCATTCTCTGTGCAAAAATCAACAAATAAACAGAGGCACCGCATTTCTGATTCGGTTACGCACTGTTCGCAACGGTTCCTGGTGTTCGTAGTTTCTATGAGGGAAGCCGCCAGCGTGCCAACCCTTGCTCGGGAGGAAGAAAACTACATTTCCCACAAAGGAACACGAGCGAACACCGGCCGGCTTACGTCATTACTTCAACCAACCAATAGCAGCTCCGGGCGGCAGTGAGGCAAGCGCCGTCAGGCGCCAAAGTGGTTTTTTTCTTTTTTTTTTTTTTTTTTTGCCGGAGTCGAGCGGGTGCTGCTAGCGGAGGCGCCATATTGGAAGGGACAAAACTCCGGCGACAGCGAGTGACACAAATAAACCCCTGGACCCCCTCGTTCCCTCAGCTCTAAGGGTCGCGATGTTGTACCTAGAAGACTATCTGGAAAGTGAGTGCGCGGCGCTGGCGGGAGCCGCCGGTGGGACCTGCGGGCGGGCGAGAGCGCGAGTGGACGGGCAGCGAGATGGCGGAGAGGGAGGGGGCGGCGGGGGATGTTTCTTTCTCACGGTAACTGGCAGCCTCGTTGTGGGCTGCCGGCCCCCTCGACCCCCCCGGACGCACGCGCGCAGTGACGTAAGCGCGTATGTCGCCGTTGGCCCCACCCCTCTGACGGACTCTGTTTTTGACAGTGATTGAACAGCTTCCTATGGATCTGCGGGACCGCTTCACGGAGATGCGCGAGATGGACCTGCAGGTGCAGAGTAAGTTGGCGCGTCTACTACTCTGGTTCGCTGCGCGCGTTCAGTACCAGACTTGCTTGTCATTTCTGCTAACGCCTAATGCTCTTTCACTGTCCTCTGGCTCACTCCGCTAGTGCATGAGGAGTTGTCAGAAAGAATTAGCAGTCCTGAATCTCGCCTTCTCCTTCCCTCCTGTGCTACTTTTTTCTGGCTTTTGCAAGAGGAGGAGGCATTAGGACACGTGTATTCCTTTCTAGAATGTGGGATTGTGCAAAAAATATTTTTCTACCGTCATTGAGATAGTTATCTATGTTTCAATGGACGTCGGCATAAATGTTGAGATGTGTCTTGGGCCTTTTCGTATCGAACTAAGATTTCAGCATTTATACTTATAAAGTTAATTCTATTCACAGTTTTTCAAGAGTAGAAAGCATAGAAGCGCAGGTTATATATAGCTCTTTAGAGACCCTGGCGAATGTCAAATTTTGAAAAGTTAGTTACACGTTATAAGATACATTTTGAATTGTAACAGAATCATCATTTTCTTAGTTAAAATGAGTGACAGAAATAAGATTTCACTGTAAAGTTTCTTACTTGATGTACCAAAAAAATCTGGCAGTTAATGAACATTTCTTTTTCTTTCAGTGATAGCTTGGCAGTCCTGTGACTTTTTCCATAAATTAACCTTGCTCTAAGTAGAGCAAGGACTATAAATAGGTTGCTCAGGGACCGCTTGCTATAGCTAAGAACCTGTCCTTTTCACTGCCCCTGACTTCTCTGCATATGACTACACCACCACTTATATACTCTTTGTTTATGAGTACATTTTTCTTGTAAGTTCAGGAGGCATGTAATAGAAAGTGGTGGCATGGAAGCCACCTTCTTTTCAGTGGGTTGTGGTATGAATTATGAATTTTGTGTGTGTGGTTCTCAGGCTATCTCACAAAATCCATTTTAAATTTAGTGTAGTTGAAATGCTAAAGATTTGCGGAAGTAGCCTTCTCTGCAGGATTGATCTATCAGATAGATCTGAGTTTGTTTTAGGGCTTTACTAATTTGGACTGTATTACCACTTGTGAGGGGCTTTCATTGTAAAAAGAGAATCATCTAAGGATTTAAAATATTACAGTTGAATTAGAATTTATAGCATCTAATACAAAGTAGACATTAAATAAAGGATAATTTATTTAAAATTTAAATTATTTTATATTATTGTTTAAAATTTTAAATTATTTTGTAATTTGGGCTTATGTCATACATATTACAGCCTTTTTAAAAGTGCATTTCTTTACAGTAACTAGAATTTTCTAAAGTTATATAGGAATTGTGGATTAACAGAACAATGTGCTAAATAAATTCAGAAATGCTTATTTAAACAAAGGAAGATGCTTCAAAAAATCACAGGAGTTCATAGAGTCTTTAAAGGGCTAGTATGGACTGAAAATATCAGAAAAAAGTATATTTTAAAACTATTTTTATCAATTTACATGACAGAATCCTTTTTTCCTTTTTTTTTTTTTTTTTTTTTTTTTTTTTTTTAAAGCAGACATCCAATGAGATGATTAGTCTTGGCACATAATTTGGGGAAAACTTATCTAGAAATAATGTTTAAATGATTGTACCTATTACTTTCAGTTGGGATATGACATGATGAGATGTTTAATGCTATATACCAAATCTTTTTATCACTTTTTCTTGTTAAAAGAAATGTGAGTATTATCTAATGGTGTTTTAATTGTGTTTTGGTGCATTTGGCTGATTTAATACCTTTAGCTTTTGACCCCAATGCTGTATTGCTCAAAAATTATAGTATACAGCCAATTTACTTTGTGGACTCTACTTAGGCTATTGGAAAAAGCTGTGAAATAACAAAAACAAAAATAATCTATCAATAAGGAAAATTGTAACTCTTTAAAGGAAGGTAATTAAGGCATTACATATTTACATAATCAAAGAATAACATATTTAAGTTACTGGCAGAGTGAAAGAATGTGTATTGTCAGATTTTTTTTCTCCCTAAATCAAACCGTGTATATTTGATATATGAATTTGATCATCTAAATATGATTTTTTTTATTATGTCATAGATGCAATGGATCAACTAGAACAAAGAGTCAGTGAATTCTTTATGAATGCAAAGAAAAATAAACCTGAGTGGAGAGAAGAACAAATGGCTTCCATCAAAAAAGTATGTGCAACACTTTGGATAATTTAGGGAGTTGAGGAGAGATAGTATGGGGAGAAATGCCAGATATAGGTGATGGGGAGGAGGGCAGCCAATCACACTGCCATGTGTGTACCTATGCAACAGTCTTGCATGGTCTTCACATGTACCCCAAAACCTAAAATGCAATTTTAAAAAAAAGTTTATCAAGAAATATTGGAATGCTCTGAAAAAGATATTTCAAATTTAGATAGTTGTCTAGATATCAAAATGAGGGAATATTATTAATGGCTATTGTGTTTTAGAGCTTTAGATAGGGATTTTTAGTCATTAAAGCATTTTGGTAATTTAAAAAATTGTCTCAATAATTGGTGACTATTAGAAAGTGACAAACTATTTAAAAAGTACATTTTTTTCCTATTAGTTTGTTTTATTCTAGTTGCATATAATTAAAGTTGAGTCATTTCTAGAGACGGAGTACTGTATTCTAGTTTTGACCACAAACTAGGGTAGATAAACATCAGCAGATCTTGGAGAATATTTTATATATTGCTAGGTACATAAATCAGACCCACAGAAGAACAAAATCCGAAAAGTTAGAAGGAATGTAAGAAAGCCTTTTAGTTTAAAACTCTAAATTTGTATATGACGTTTGTCTGGAAATGTAGAATTGAGGTTTTGTCAGTTTTATAGTGGTTATACCTCTCTTCAGAATTGAATGAGTATACATGCAAACCTCGAAGTTTGCTTTACAAGTATGATCGAATTCATTCAGGGATGGATACATTGAAAGAACAACTTAGAAGACTTGAATTTGGTCATGACTCTGCTATTTAGCTATGTGACATTAAACAAGTCTTAATATTGCTGAATAATAATGCCTCCCTAAACCCAGTGTTCATAAAATTGTTCAAGGATCAACTAAAAGGCTGAGTGTGGTTGTTCATGCCTGTAATCCCAGCACTTTGGGAGACTGAGGCGGGTGAATCTCCTGAGGTCAGGAGTTCGAGACCAGCCTGGCCAACCTGGTGAAACCCTGTCTATACTAAAGATACAAATATTAGCTGGGTGTGGTGGTGGGTGCCTGTAATCCCAGCTACTTGGGAGGCTGAGGCAGGAGAATCACTTGAACCCAGAAAGCGGAAGTTGCAGTGAGCCTAGATCATGCCACTGCACTCCAGCCTGGGCAACAGAGTGAGACTCTGTCTCAAAGCAAAAAAAAAAAAAAAAGGTCAACTAAGAAAGAAATTTGGAAATTACAAATGAGTAGTTATGTTATTTATTCTACTTCATGAAGGGAAAATTATTTCTGTTAGAAAAAAAATCATAATCTATAACAGAGTAGTGCTGGCTTGGAAGATACCTGGAGACACAGGCGTTTGTGAATACAGGCATGATACATGTACATCGCAGAGTCACTAAT